CAGGGCAACCTGAATGCCTGTGGCTAGTTGGTTTCTTCTTAGAACACCAGCACACCCCTCTTTCCTCCCAAGAGAACTGTGTGATTTCTAAGCATCAGTTTGCTTCCAAATTTGTGTATACTAGCTATATTTAAAATTTTATTTTTAAGATTTTATTTATTTGAGACAGAGAGAAAGAGCACAAACAGGTGGAGGGGCAGAGGGAGAGGGAGAGGGAGAAGCAAGCTCCCCACTGAGCAGGGAGCCTGACAAGGGGCTCAGTCCTAGGACCCTAAGATTATGACCTGAGTCAAAGGCAGACACTTAACTGACTGAGCCACCCAGGTGCCCCTAAAATTAAATTTTAAATAAGATCATTAATATTATAAAAAATAATGCAATATGAGAACAAATTATCATTTCTAGGGAAAACTAGGTCAGTTTGGAAAGAGAGTACATGACTGAAAAAAAAAAAAAAACCCAACAGTAAAAATCATGCTTTCTGCCACAGATTCCTTCATATACATCTCATGCCTTCACTCTACAGAAACTAAAGCTAGAGATCAGAAAATGCATTTAGGAGTATGACTTAGCAGGAGAGAAAACCAGAGCACTCATTAGTAAAAACGTGCCAAAGATAGACTTTGCACCACTGTTTGAACTTTGGCAAATGAATATATGTGCATTAAGTTAAAATAAAATGTTGAAGGTATGCAGTGTGGTTTGTGTGTCCTTCTTTGGCCTGTCACATCAGGTGAGTGGGCTTCTACTTTGGAGCTAGAAGTGATACACTGGGTAAGGGAAAAAGAATCAGGGATAATAATGATCCTTGCCACTTGCATGGGCTGAAGCCGATCTGCTTGGCATATACCCTTCTGCTTTTGAGAAGCTGCTAATGCTCTACATTTCTACTGCTGACCAACATTTGTCCTCTTTTCCAGCCTTCTCATTTCCATAATTCATCACGAATAACACACTTACCACCACACTTGCCACAATGCTGTACAGAGCAGCCTGTATAAAAAGCTGTATTGGTCTAAACTTCTTGAAGGGATCATGTGCTTAACAATTTGTATCACCCAGTGCTGACATGTGGTAGATGGTCAATGTTTGTTCAATGGACAAATGAAATAGGCTATCTACTTTGATTTTTTGAACTGAGAAATCTCTTTGTAAGCATTAAATGATAATCCATACTATACTGTTACGTACTGAATGTCTGTGCCTCCCTCAAATTCGTATGTTGAAGCACTAACCTCCTAGTGTGACTAAATTTGGAAATGGGTCCTCTAAGAAAGTGATTAAGGTTAAATGAGATCAAAGCGGGGTGGGGGGTGTCCTGATCCAACAGGATTAATGCCCTTATGAGAAACACCAGAGAGCTTGTTCTCTGTAACCCAGAGTATCCTCACCAGACACCAACCGTGCTGGCACCTTTATCTTGGCACTGTCTCCAGAGCTGTGAGAAAATAAATTTCTGTTGTTTAAGCCATCCAGTCTGTGGTTTTGTTACAGTGGAGTGGACTATACGTATGTGTAGAATAGATTGTTTTCTCCTTCATATTTGGTTTGCCAGAAGGAGTCTGAGGAGTAAGCGAACTTTGATACGTCTAAGAGATGGTTCTCTTTTAGCTTTCAAGAAAAAAATGTTTCTCCTCTGATTATTTTTCTTTACTAACAAAATACATAGTACCATCGCAGGAAGAAGCCTTTTTGTTTGGAAAGCCTTTTACCCCCTAAAGTTAAACCTATAATTCAAATTAAAAATAGCTTTTATCTTGGTACAATGAACAAAAAAACAATTTTTAGTAGTTTCACAAGTGGCTAGTCTCTGTGATTCCCTTGACTCTTCCCTCAGACTTGTCACACCTTGTATCTGCAAGATGGTTTCCAGAGTTCCTCTGCATATTACCTGAGATTAAAACAAGAGGAAGGGGGAGAGGCCATACGAGCAGCATACTTACCCTCTTACAGGAAAAGCGAGTGATTTTCCAGCAGCTATCAGCATACTTCTATCCATCTCAATGGCCGTAATCCTGTCACAGGCTCAAACCTAGGTGCAAGGGGAGCTGAGAAAACACTATTTAGTTTATCCCATTCCCATTTTGAAGGGGGTAAAGAAACTTTTGGGCTAGTCAGTGAATGGTGGTATTTGCCAAACAGGGTTACTGGAAAACGACTGGCAGGTGAGCTAATTTTAAGAAATAATCCTCCAGGTATGGGCTTAATCACCCCAAGGTGGGCTTTTCATTTCACACCTTACCAAAGAACTTTAACCAGCTTCTAACCAATACTTTTTTGATTACAACTAGCTAGGCTGCAAACATTTCATTAGGCAATTCTATACCAAGTCTTATCTGTACCTATTACAATATAATACTGACTTCAGCTATTGAATATACATTAGCTGTATTGTTTATTGTTTTGTGTGGGGCTAATGACACTATTCTACTTTTCTGTCAATGATACACAAGGAACTGGCAAGTGGGGCCTTCTAATTTGAGGCTATGGTTAAACACATAATCTGAGTTTATCAATATTGTATTTTGACCAAGAACCTACCCATAGCTTACCACTAGTTAACATTTCTAAGTTTGCATCCCACATTCACTGGTCCTACTTAAGAAGATCTCTGAAAGGGAAGATAACTTATCTTTGTGTAATTACTGCTATCCTTAATGGTGCAGTAATGGTGTTAGTACAGGCTATGGCAAGTTTTTACCTAATGTAGTCTAAAATACCATTCGAATGGAGACTTCATCAGAACAAAAACATACGTGTTCTAATTGAGACCTTAAATAGGGAGGAAAATTGGGGTTGAGAAAATAAGAAAAATAAAGTCATGTTTGCTACACAAAAGTAGAATTCCTGAGGTTCTATATGGTAGCCATGGTGAACACAATTTGGCTGAAGTTTGCCTAAAAAAACAAATCAAAAAAGAGAAAGACAGTAATAGTCTTTAAGGAAAAACAAAAACAAAAACAAAAAACCAGATAAATTCTTTAAGAAAAGCACTGGTTTTACTGCTGCTGAGACCTAAGAGAATTTTCTCTCATGAGTCCTCATAAAGGTACACTGTGGTGTAGCAGGCATCAGCCTTAAAATAAACACATGTGTTGAAAACGCAGTTTCTGATGATTGTTTTGCTAGTAGAAGCCAACAGCACAGAAGCAAATTGCAATGCAGTGAAGATAATTCTATTATCTTTTGGAAGAACTAAAATGTGGATCAAATATGTAGCTTTTTGAAAATCTCCCAGAGGATACAATTTGGATTCCTCTCTTTACTAGTTGAGAATACAGGCTTGTTTTTAACATAATCCCCAAACTCCTCTCTTCCCGTAAGTAATAAAACCCGTTTTAAAACTAGACAAATTATTTTTAGATGTAAGGCCACTGTTCCCTTTTAATATCAAAAACAGATGAAGTAGACTACGTAGATTATTTATCTGAGGAACATGGTTTCCTAAATAATGTGCTTTAAATGTCTACTCTCAGAATAGACAAAGCACATTTTAAAATGCTGGTTTATGGTTTTACTACCTACACACGAGGTTAATTTTTAAAAGGTTAAAAGAGTATTCACAGAAGTGTTTCCTGTTTGAATTATGTTCAACTTTTTTTATTAATATTGGTTACATTTGTAACACAGTGCACCTATTCACAAAGACTTAAAATGATCATAATATAAAGTGTAAACCTAAAAAATGATCATAAACTCATTCCATATCTGTGAAATGGAGCAGTTAAGTATAATTAAATTTACAATAATTGTAAGGGATAGAGAGAACACTGAAATGGAAGGGGAAAAACACTATTCAAGATCTAAACAACACAGCTACTGCTGTACTGAGAAAATAATTTATTAAATGAATATAATAATAGGAATAAAATGCATCATAAAAGTAAAAAAAGTAAATTCTAAATATAAATAGTGGTTTATCTAATTAATAAGTTTTCTTCACCCATCCCAAACTTTACATACAATCTTCTGAAAAGCCAGATTCAGAAGTGTATGGTTCACTTTAAAACAGACATGTATGTAGCATTATAACATCTGGGATTTAGCAAAGATCATCTTATCATTAGACTAAAAATGAAATTAATTTAAATGATTGTTCTTTTTAAACCTTTTAAGCCTAGAATATTTTGAAATGAACAAAGAGAAGAGTTTATTATATCCTTCCTGTCTCTCTCCCAGGATAGTAAACAAACTTCTGGTGTACTTTGTGGAAAATATTGAGACAGAACGTAGTTGTGCATTTTGACAAAGGCTTTTAAAATTTTTGGTACTTTGTAAGAAACAGTGTCCTTTTTAGATCAAAAGTTAACAACAGCCACTTGATCTCATAATCTATGGAAGTAGGATTTTAAACAACTACATTTTAGTATGTACATCAAGATACTGATAAACTTTTAGATAGTGAAGAAAACAAAACTGGAGATGGTTATTCTATTTCCCCAGTAAGTTTCCCTCAGCTTTTAAAAAGCACATGCAATTCAATATACCGAGCAGTATTTCAAAATGCTAGCACAATCACAACACTTATTAACAGCAATATGCAAAGCACTGGAAATAGAAAATAAATGAGAAACTTCATGTTGTAAAAATGAAACAAGGCACTTTCGAAAACTATAAGCCAATCTGAAAGAAACACTTTTTCATAAAGCTGACTCACAGACCCTAGCAAACTGGTGTAAAAAGTTAAATAGTGAAGGCACTACATAATTCTTTTTCCTAACTCCACTTACTAAAGAAATTCACCAATTAAACTTGGCACAAAGGAGTTTAATTATCATAAAGTGCATCACTTGGCTAAATATATTAAAAGGAAAATCAGCCTTAATATATTATAGCAACATATTCACATATACAGAAATAAAAATGCAATCCCAGGAGTCAATGTAGTTAAGGAACTTTATAGTATATATGGCTTTTTATTTTGTATTTTTTTTATAACTCCCTACTTGCTTAGAATCTTTATTTTCAAAAGAGTATACCTTGATTAGCAAAAAGAGGTAGTATTCTGAAAGAGGAAAACTCACTGATTCTATAGGTAGAGATTTAAGATAAAGATTATGTGGAAAATAAACAAGTACAACATATTATAATAAACTAGGATACTTATTATAGTACTCTGATAATGTATCAGCTTTTAAAATCAAGGCTATTTTATCACTTTAGCTATGTTATTTTATGTTATTATAGCTCTTTCAAATAGTTTTCCTTTGGTATTAGAAAGTTTTCTTCTTTTTAAATAGCAGTAACATTGCAAACAGGCAATTTTTATTTACAGATGGTAAATGTATCGATATTTAAAACTTAATTCATCTTTACCACTGATTTAAACGACTAATGAAAATATATCATGTCATAGATACAAAGAAGTATATATCAACCAGATAGTAACATGCATTTAATGTCCATTTAACTGATAAAATTGGCATTTTAAACACAAACTCAAACACACACACATACACACAAGAGTATGCACACACACATTACTTTGGAGCAACATATTGGCAAAATACCAAAATAATTTATGCACATTATTTAAGAATTGAGTCTTGATAACAGAACTCAAACTTAATTTTTTTTTTAGTGTATTAAATACAAAGGTTGGATAAAAGACAATTTAAAGCAGCAGTGAATACATTCCTTATCCCAATAACTTAAAAAACTTTTCTTTATGTAAACTTTTACATGTGCAATCTTTCTGTTTTCTGTAAATGCTTCACTCTTTTTTCTTTTTAAGTATTTGCCATTCTATTCTAAATTTGCTGAAACATACACATGGAAGGAACTGCTTGTCATGTATTAGTCTTCTTCAGCATTGTATGCCACTTCTGCAACTTCTATGTCTGATACAGAATTTTCAGGTTCATTAAAACTTAAGCATGGCTTATCATCAGTTCTGCAAGAAAAGAGAAACATGTCAACAAAGAGATTAGAAACATGCGAATTCACTTCACTATTACCTTTAAAATTTTTTTATCTGATGGAAAGATTATTTAAAAACTATAATGTGAAAATATTTAATGGAAAAGAATATTTAAATAATTGATCAGAAATTACACACACACCCACACACACACACATTTGTATACATATATATATTTAACGATTTTATTTATTTATTTGACAGAGAGAGAGAGAGAGACCACAAGCAGGGGTAGTTGGAGGGGGAGAAGCAGGCTCCCCACTAAGCCAGTAGCCCAACATGGGGCTTGATTCCAGGACTCTGGGATCATGACCTGAGCCAAGAGCAGCTGCTTAACGGACTGAGCCACCCAGGTGCCCCAAGAAATTTTATATTTTTAAGTTGTTATTACCAGACAACATCTATGGAGATATATTTTTGAGTCTTTCAGCTCTCCCAACTACCATTTATCACTAAAAATCCAATTTATAATGACCTTTACCAACATAAATTTGTTCTCATAATTACGCTTAGCTGCTACCACTAAAGTATTTATAATGACTTTGGATTTATAAGTAATAAATATTCTATGTGCTTTCAAATATACTATCTTCATCATTCCTGTTAGGTAGGCAGGCTTGTTGCTATTATAGTATCCCACTTTTTGAATGGGAAAAGACTGAGGGAGATTAATTTGTTAAACTTAATAAAATTAATGAATTAACTGAATAGGTAATTTAGACATATCTTCAAAGTAAGTAATAATTTACAGCCTAGATGCCAAAGATTCATTTTTAGGGACAGCCTAGACTTTCGAATAGTCTGTCTTTATTTGCTCAGCAGATTCACGATACAATAACACTGAGTTCATAAAAAAAAAACAAACTTGATACAGTATTACTATTTCCCTCTAATTAATCAGATAATAAGCCAAATATTATTTACCTAGATTCCTCATGCAAAACATCTTGATCAACCTCAAGTGAGGAGGACTCCACCTTTGGGATGTGTCCACCTTCTGTTTCTGATGCGTGCAATGACTCTTCAGGTTCTAAAGACAATGTTCTGAAAGTAAATTAGAGCAACAAGTTATTTTCTACGAATAAAGTATGTATTAGTTTATTTTTGTAAATACACATAACTTTAGTAGTCTTTAGCTATTCTTAATATAGCTAATAAATTGCTGACTCTGGGAGTCAACAGAGAAACTAGTATTTATAATTAATGTAAAATGATTTTAATGTCAATTCAATATATGCTGACAAGAACACAAACTACAACTTTCGTATGTAAAAGTTGGTAGAAATGCCTAGAAACAAAGATACCACTTAAACAGGTTAAAATGAATAATGTTTATCTTGAACAGCTAGAGACTTGTTATTTCTGATGTTTCCCATCCTTCAAATGTTCAACCTCCTAAATAATTTACCGAAAGGCAATTTTCCCAATCTATAAGAAATCACACCAAGAGTCTAAGACTTCTGGAATCAGAAATTTCCTAAATCATACTAAAATACAAAGGGCATTTAGCCCAGAGTATTAAGAGTTTAATGAGTAAGGCTAAAAATGTAAATATCACAATACACCTGATTCTGCTCTCTAGAGTTTCTATATGAAGTTGCTTTTCATGCAGCAGTTTCTTCAGTGATTCCACCTCTTTTTGTTTTTCGAGTAGTTCTTTTTGAAAACGGTAGTTTGTCTCTTCTAAAGTTTCACAGAAAGCCTTAAAAACAAACAAAAAAATTCAGAAAAAAAATTACTTATGCAGTATCTTCCTCAAGAGCATTTATTTGAGGAGTTAAAGAACATAATCAAAATAATATGTATGCAGCCCCAACAATTTGTTCCCTTTACTCATCTTTTTCGGTCTCTGCTGTCTTGCTATCTGCCACCTACCAGCGGGACTTCTAACTACAGGTCCCCTTTCTTGAGAATTGTTAATCAGTAAGCCACAGTGCTTGAAATGAGTATGTGATAACCCTCTAGAGTAGAACTGGGGGAAAAAAATGACCAAGTTTTAAGTTTCTGTTCTCCTTCATCTATTTTTGCCTAGTCCTAGATGAATATACTTTTTTGAAAAACTGACTATTCATTCGTATTAGCTTAGCAGCAATACTATTGTAACAACCTCCTCCACAACACCAAAACAATGTTGGGTTCTTTTTTCAACATTGTTTTTCTCTTGCTTCTCCTTTTCCCAGAGTCATTCAAAATTGATATGTTATCCTTCATACCCGGGATCCCTACTAAACACTGCTGAAATAAAGATAAAACAAACAAAATTGTTCTACCATAAAAAATGATGTCATAAAAAATGTGGGTCACTTGTTTTGATGAGGCTTTCAGCGTTACTGATCAATTCTTTTAATTATTCCTAGTTATCTATCACTCCCTGTCCTGTCTTCTCTATGACTGTTTCAGAACTTCACCCCTGGTAGGTCCCCTACAATGTGTTACTATTGCTGATTCCAAACCCAGCAGATGATCTTGATTACTGTATCAGGGGGAAGAAAAATCACTGACTCCCTGAATCCCAGCTACCTTCACATCCTGTTCTTTTCCTTAAGAACATGAGACTCTTTATCTTATCTACCTATCTTCCTCCTCTGGAAGCGTGTTCAACCACATACACTTTGTCTTAAATTTTCAACCTTTCCCCCTCCACTAGACCCTAAATTTCCTTAATAAACTTGACTGAAGTTGATTAAGCAAGTCCTAAAAATTTCTCTATAAAGAAAAATCATCACCTCCCTCTTAATCATGAGTCTGTCTAGCTATTAACTCACCTCCTTCCTTTCAAAATGAAAAAATTTATCACAAAAGGTTTTTATCACCCAAATTTAGCCCCCCATTTACTTCTAAAATCATTAAATTAGAGGATTTTCATTTTCTTTTTCTGTACCAACTATGCCTAGGGAAAGGCAAACAATGACCTTCTAATTGTCAAATCCAAAGTGTTGTTTTAATGACTTCACTGCATGTCACTATTGACTTAATTTTTTTTTTAATTTAATGGAATCTCTTTCATTGGCCTCCATGAAACTTTATGGTTTGCTTCTTAACTTGGACAGCTACTTCTTAGCTTTTTATCTGTTCTTTGCATGTGGGCATTCATCAGAGTTTTGCCCTTGGTTATGTATTCTCTTGCTCTATATGTCATTCCTGGGCAATTGCACTTACTGTTAAGACTTCAGCTCTCATCTCCACTATATGCTATCAATTTCTAATGGGTTTGTTGTTGTTATTGATCTTCAGCCCTCAACATTTCCTGAGTGCATAAACATCATTCATATATCTGCTGGTCCTCTTCAACTAGATGTACCAATGGCAAGTCAAATAGCGTTCGCAAGGGAGTATCTATTCTACCGTCTCATCATTAAAGTCATCAAGCAGGCATCTTAGATAACTCCAGTCCCCTAATTTCTATGGCCCAAAGATAACCCAGTCTTTCCACCTTTCCCTTACCCTCATTCTCTACTGCCTCATCAACACTTCTTATGTTTTTGTCATTTTTTTCTCATTTCTACAGTCTTCAGTTCTTAACCAAACTACACCACCAGTAAACTAATTGGCTCACCTATGTTTACTTTGGCAATGTAAGTTGGCTTTCTTCCTTTTTTTTTTTTAAATTGTTATGTTAGTCGCCATACAGTTGACTTTCTTAAAAATACATTTGATCATGTTACCTATGATTTAATACTGCCTAAATAATAAGGCCAAATATATGTAGGCAAATGAAGTACCTTATGATGTGACATATCCCTTTTACCCCAACTTCATAGCTTGCTGTATTTACCTTTCCTTTCGTCTGGTCCTCTACATAACCCATGTTCCACCCAACTGAATTATTTTCAGTTTCTCAAATATTTATCTTTATATAGATGGAAGTATATAATATATATCAGTCTGTGGCTTATTTTTTTTTTACCTAATGACATAAGATGAATGTTATAAACATACCCATATTTAAAAATCTGGGTATAGTCACATATGAGAAAAACTGAACAGTGTTCAACAATCATGCAAATAGAACATAGGAACACAGAGAAAAACAAAATAAATGAACCACACATGACTTCCATAGATAATAGTACGGGTGACCAGACAAACTAAGGCTTCTGGCTATAAAATACCTAGCTAAAAATTCAACTTTTTTAAACAGCTATGTGGGCAAGAAACAGAGGTAAGTCTCCGGGAACAAAAACGAAGAGAAATGAAAACAAGTACCACCAGCATCTGCACTAATATAGCTTTGGGTAATGGGTGAAAAAGGAGTAAGGAGAGGTTGCTTTTGGTAACTTTGAACTTTAAACACCAAGATGGGATAAGAGATGAATCAGGCACATTTTAAGGGCTAGTGGCAAAAAATCAGATACTTAGGAATAAAGTAAGGACTCTAAAGAGCAAAGCCATTAATAAAAGTCACTCATCAACATTGGAATACATCAAGGAAGATTGTGTGTCTCATCTTGGCCTCTATGTGGGAGAGGTAAAGTCTTCCCTGAAGAATCTGTAACTATGGGCCAATGCCTCATGTGGATTTTGGTTTGAATTTATACTATTCACAATCAGTCAGAAATACCCAAGCTTTGAAATTAGCATAAAAAATGGCCTAGGATCAATGATATTCAAGGTATGCCTGCAGAATAAAACAAACTTCTATGGAAGGATATACCCTCAAGTTTGGCTGTTCAGTGTTCTTGGAGACAAGGTTCTAATTAGGGCAAATTTATAACCTAAATTACAAAACACACTTGGATATCATCCACTGAAAAGATGATTAGAATTCCATAAACTTCAGATAGCATATTATGAGATAAAGACCATAAGAGATGAACATGTAAAATGACTGGAAAATATTTTTTAAAAGCCACTATTAAAAAAAAAATCAGGTATACCTGAGCCAAAACAATAGAATCTCAAGACATGACAAGTATAGTCAATATTATTAAGATTTTTTTTTAAGATTTTATTTGTTTATTTGACAGAGAGAAATCACAAGTAGGCAGAGAAACAGGCAGAGAGAGAGGAGGAAGCAGGCACCCTGCCAAGTAGAGACCCTGATGTGGGACTCAATCCCAGGACTCTGAGATCATGACCTGAGCCAAAGGCAGAGGCCCAACCCACTGTGCCACCCAGGCATCCCAATATTATTAAGATCTTAATGGAAGTATCAAACAGTAGAATAATCCTGTCTGAAGACAATAAACTGGAAGCTAGAACTAAGAAAATTACAGAATTTATTCATTGAAGAATGAAGCACAGGGAGATGGAGACATAACATGAAAAATTAAGACAGATGGAAAAGGAAAATAACTAACACATATAGTTATAAACTGGCCTAAAATAGAGAACAGAGAGAATGAGGAGAAGCAATACTCGGTGAGAAAACAGCAGAAAATTCTCAGAACTGATTGAATAGTAGCATTTTCAGACTTGGGAAGAATAATGCATCCCAAGGAAGACAAAAATAAACACCACCCATACATAAGATGGTAAAACTGCAACTGTGAAAATCAAAGAGAAGGTCTCTAAAACACTAGGGAGAAAAAAGAGTCTACTAGAAAGGGACAACAATGAACTGAAAATAGATATTTCACAGCAGCGGTCTACAGCAAAGGCAGGAGAAAAGACCTCAAAGAACTGAGAAGGACTATCAAGGTGGAATTCTAGACCCAGTTAAATCATACTTCAAGAATGAAAGCAAGATTTAAAAAATTTCAGACATTAAAGACCTAAATATTACCAACACACATTCACTGCAAGAGCTATTAAATGGTGTATTTTAAGAGCAATTAACTGAGCCCCAGTGGAAAAAGTGAGACAAAAGAACTTAGAATGGTGAGGAAAGGAAGTGCCAGTATGCAGGTAATTAAAGGAAGCACCGGCTCACTTTTGGGGAGGCTCGGTTCTAAATTATTTGATGAAAACAGTATTTGGCCATTAAATAAAAGTGAATATAGAGCTTAGAAGCCAGGAGTAGAGGGAAAAGGGAGGAAAGAAAACTCATTAACTATATAAAAGAAAGGAAAGGAGAAAAAGGTAAATAAAAGGCACAAAATAAAATGGCAGAAATAAATACATATATATTGGTAATTACTGGATACATCACAATAAACTTGCCATTTAAAAAACAGATTCTTCTGTTTGTATCAAAAACCAAAAATACCTCTATGATGCTGACAAGAAACGCACTTTCTTTTTTTTTTTTTTAAGATTATTTATTTATTTGAGAAAGAGAGAGAGAGAGAGGGAGAGTACAGAGGGAGAAGCAGACTCCCCGCTGATTAGAGAGTCTAACATGGGACTCAATCCCAGGACCCAGATATCATGACCTGAGCCGAAGGCAGACTCTTAACCGACTGAACTATCCAGGTGCCCCAAGAAACACATTTTAGATATAAAGATAGAAAAATACTTATCAGGCAACAGGCAAATCTGCTCTTTCTTCCCTACAAAAAGTGTAGCTTTATTAATCTCAGAGCAATACGTTTCAAGTGGTAAACATTAGGCACAAAAAGAATCACTACCTGATAATAAAAGGAATGATTCATTAGGGATATTTCAACTACAGAATTCCAAAAAAATTTTTTTAACAACCAACCATTATGAGTGAATTCAATATACTACTTTTGGTTATTAAAGATACGTTAAGAGATTTTTAAAAATCAGAGAAAATGCCTTACATCAATGTATTTTAAAATCTGTATGAATTGCCCAATT